ATATATATATATATATATATATAATGAAGGCTTTAAAATATCATATATGGAATAAAAATGCAATTGATTAAGCAAGTGACAATATTATTAATATTAATCAAAAAATTCAAAAAATTAAAAAAGACAATCATCTTTGAAATCAATCACATCCCTTCAAAGAAAAATAAGAATCCTACATTTTTCTTACTGTCCACATAGTCAACAGCCACAATCACCTTTTGCATATTCAAGTTTATTCCAATATTATTCAACCTTGGTAAATATAGAAATGATTGTCAAATATTATTCACAATGATGTTTCACTTTTTAGTATTATTTCCTATTAATTTGATTGCATTAGCATAAAAATACAATGATTTTCTTTATAATTTTTATTTCAACAATTAAAATTTAAACACAAGAATTAACCATTTACTATTGTATCAATTACTAAAAAAGACAAATCATTAAGAAAAGCAAAAAAACTACCCAAAAAAAAGGTATGGATACGGACTGAGGGGCTGGACCAGGCTACATACCAGCCCCTCCAAGTGGACTTAAAATAGCTAGTTAAAGATAGCTGCTAAAATTGATTTAATAATTCTATTTCTTTCCCATTAATTCTGACGTCAACTAAAATAAAATTTTATTTGATATTAATTGACATTAGCCTTATTCGAATAACTGAGACAGTTGTCAAAGTCCTCTTTCAAAAAATTTTGTAAGCCCTTGACTTATTAATCCTACTACTGCCCCAGCAAATAAAGCTTTATGACAATATAGGAAACATTCATTCACGTTTAAAAATTCATACTAACCTCCCATAATTTGTTTTAAGTATCACATACACCCCCTCACCACTTTCAGATCAATATAAAATATAATATCATGTTGATATATCTAAAATGTCCTTGTGAAAAAAGATGAACTATTCTACAATCAGTTGCAATTTAATTTGTTCTATAAAATAATACATTTTTTAAAGATTGTGTGCATACACAATATTGAATATGCGTGCTAGTGAAAATTTAAACTTAAAATTGTTGAAGAATTTGGTAATAAATGGTTTGAGTTTTAACTAATAAAATATAGTTATGTACACAAAATTTAAATATTAACAGAATGCAAACTTATAATAAAAATTCATATTTATAAATTTATAAACTAAAACAAGATGTTAAATACAGTAAAAACTTGATAAATGAATGTTCGATAAATTAATAAATCTCGCTTAAATAATAGTATTCTTTGGTCCCGACTTGGGCCAACGTACTAAATTAATAACCTCTAAATGTATAAGATAATAATATTTTTGAGATTCTCTAAAGCCCACCGAATATATAAAATAATAATTGCTTAAATTCTTAAAAGTTCATATTAATACAAATTAAAAAACTTTTAATTAGACAATATTTTTTTTTCAATTCACCTCTATTAATTTAACAAACTTTTAATTTTCAGTAGAAATTATGCTCCATGTGGATATGAAATGCCTTGAACAATAAATCTTCCAAGTTACAAATTTTGAAACCAATGCATGTATATTAATGTTTCCTCTTTAATGGGCGTATGTGTGCCTTTTTATGTGCTTACCGATTAAATTTTTACTTTCATCACATTGAAAAAAAATAAAAAATTCTACATGTATTATGGTAAAATATAATACAAGGTATAAAAATATAAAATATTCTATAAATTAATAAATATTTTATTTATCGATAAATTAATAAATTATTCATTTAACAATAAATTAATAACCCCTTTAAAATAAAAAATTTTCTCGGTCCAAACATTATTATTTTATCGAGGTTTTACTTTATAAACATTACCCTTTTATAATTCAAGTGAAATTTTGCTAAAAATAGTATAATGTTAGTTCATTAAAACATTACCCTATGAAATTTATTGTCAAACAACAACGATGTTATATAATAGAATGCTATGTCAATGTGATATAATTAATCATTATATATTAATATATAATTCATCTAAAAACATATCAATCTATATTCTTATACTTTACTTTGAATAAATTAACTATAACTAATTGTAGAAATTTCATATTTTTCTTCACAAGGGCATTTTAGGTGTATCAACCTCATTTTAGATGGTATGAGGGATATCTCTAATATTATCATAAAGCCCAAAAGTGTCTTTGATATTGTGTCTGAAAACTAAGGGCATGTTCTGTTTGCTGTTTTCAGGTCATTTTCGGTTTTCAGTTTTCGAAAATACTGAAAACATGTTTACTTACCTATGGACATGTTCGGGACAGGTTAAAATCCAATTAAAATTGAAAATATGGCCGTTATTGGGTCTCACCCGTCTAGTAAAAGTCAACAATAACGCCTAGTTTTTCAATTTTAATCCAATTTTAATCTCTACCGAACACGCCCTATTTTCAGAAATGAATTTTCAAAAACGAGCTTAAAATTTACAAAGAAAACGGAACACGCAAAAAAAGTCGTTTTTACTGTTTTCGGTTAAAACCAAGCCAAAACTTCATTTTTTTAGTTTTGAAAATAATTTTTCAAAATGATAAAAAGAACAAAATGGACACTCAAAACATAAAATCTAAAATGAATTAAAAACTGAAAACTAAAATACAAAGAGAACAACCCCTAAGTGATCGTCACACACTACCCGCATGTACAAATTTGTCCATTAAAGCTTTGTCTAACATTACCCTATCCGTTGGGATATAAATTCGGCAAGGTAGCAGTCTAAAGTTTTCAAGAGACAATTTGGTCAGCAAGTTGACTTTTATGGCAAAGGATTGAAAATGGGAGGCTCTGAATTTACTAATTTTCAGTTTTATGCATCAGTGCACGCATAAACGCATTTTAACCTAACAATTTCTGTTACTTTCAATACAGAAACAGATGCCAAAATATCATTTTGAGTCTCTTTTTGGAAAAGGTGAATGGATGTCTACTGAGTTGGAGTGGGGAGACAACCCGAAATTTTAGTTCCAATATGGACTAACCTGCTTCTGTTCACGAGGATTCATAAATATTGATGAAAGCACAAATCCAAGCAACAACAACGGGGCAACAAAACTTTGAAATTTAGTGGAGAAGTCCTGGTTGTTCCCTTGATCACCCGTGCCTGACTCCTCTGCAAACAGATGAAAATTATAGGGAAGAAGACTCTGGTGAAGGTAAGCTAAGTGACATAATCAAGGAGTTCTTTAAATCAGATATATGAAAAATGACATCAATTAAGCAGTAAGGTAGTAACATCTACGAATGATGTTTCTATCCTAAGGCTTGTTGGTAAGCTCTAATTACTTTTCTTTTCAATCTTTTCTGCCCTGAGATTGATTGAATGGAAAACTAGTATAACTAGCACGTTACTTCAACTTAGTTAGATCCCTGGTTGGTGGGATTAAAATCAATACTTTAATTTATGTCAAAGTCAACAATTAATACCCACCAAACAAGGCTAAATATAATGCTCTAGAACAAGAGAAGAAGTGACCACAGCACAAAATAGCAAGATTGCACACCTTTATGCTCCCCTTTCTGGTTGTTCCCTTTTGGAATTTCTTTCTTGTTTTTTGGATAATAATTCTCATAGTCTAGAAAAAACACAACAGCATAATTAAACCTCAGGAATACTAAGAACCACAAGTATCCGGAAAGATAATATCATCATAACAGTGTCATGGCAAAATACTCAATATTTCTTACTTCTTTTCTTTGGTGTTTCGCTACAATACAGCCTAATAAGCCTAGGGTTCGCAAAAACCGAGTTAAATTCCGACAAAGTGCCACCATTCACAACCAGTTTCCCAGCTCCAATAGATGTCAAATATCTCCTCACAAACCCTAAGCCACCCCACGATCGTGCAATACACGCATTTTCAGGAGACAATTCATTCAAAATTATTAATTCCAATCCATTACCACCCGAAAATGGGGCCTGCACAAAATGCAAAAATTAAAAAAGAAGCAAGTGAAAATCATCAATATTAAAAATGGGGGAAAATGAATTTAGGAGCTTACTTTATTGAATATGGAGCGAGAGGATCGATGAATAGAGCGTCCAATTCGTAAAAACATCATTTTTCAGTCATCAAAACATGAATTCCCTACTTGAGTTTATAAAACGAATCCCTAAAATACTCTTGCGACGTCGTTTCTTCAATACATTTTAAGTCCTCACTCAATAAACATACAATTCTCAAAGATCAATCTGCAAAAGCATATATTCTTATTCATGTTCTAGGGTTTTCCGATTGGGAACAACAAAGAAATTGCAGTGTAGAATTCAGAAAAATGGAAAGAGGAACTGCACGTCACCGGAAGCAAAACTCCGCATGGAGATGACGCAAATTTACGAATATAACCTCGAGTGTCGGTTATGTTGTGTATTTTCTTGGGTATTTTGGTAAATGAATCGGTGTGTCTGTGGCCAAGGGAGAGGCACGACCATGCTAATACTACCCGCGAAAAAAGGCACCATTTGGGTGGACCTCTTGCTTGACTAAAAAATAATTGGCGCAACCTATTTACATGTTCGAACCTGATTCAATTTACAAGTATTGTTCACTTATTCAGGACTTGTTTGGGGAGATTTTAATTCAATTAAAATTGAAAATATAGTCGTTATTGGGTCCCACCCGTTTAATAAAAGTCAATAATAACGACTAGTTTTTCAATTTTAATCCGATTTTAATCTCTCACAAACAATCTCTGATGTGAGAATGCATAAAAAACTTCACTACGCTACACTTAATACACCAACTTTTTCTTTTTTTTCAATAACTACACTACTTTTTATAATAAAATAACTTATTACACACCAACTTTTACTCATCTTCTTACTTTTACTTTTTTATTACACTGAGTTTGCCCCCGAACCGGGGCAAGCCCTCGAATTAAAATCCAATTAAAATTGAAAATATGGTTTTTATTGAGTCCCACTCGTCTAATAAAGTCAACAATAACGGCTCTATTTTCAATTTTAATCTGATTTTAATCCCTCCCAAACAAGCTCTTAATCTATTTACAAAACAGTTTATAAATACTTCCCAAACAAGTTTTATATTCCTTTATTCTCGGTTTTTAAATTTAAGTTTTATTTATATTAACAAATATAGGCTTAATCTCACAAAACGTCCCACGTCGATCAACCACAACTCACTAGCCAACCACTATACTCAACCCACTTCATAGTCGTCGCCGCTTATTTGCCCAATTCTAGATTCATGCTCGATCTCTACTCTTCTCCAGCCATTGCTCCATATTTTTCCTAAACCCACGGTCACAACCACACAAACAGCCCATATGACCACTGCATCTGTCAGCCTCCATCACCATCACCATCACCCACGATTTTCCCCAATATCTACACATAGTAACAATCAGAAAATAGATGCAGATACTAGAAGCATAAAAGGCTGTTGATTTTTTGTGAACAGTTGAAATTATTGGCAAAAAGAGATGCGCAACCACTCGTTACAAATTCCATCTCTCTATTTTGTCTCCTGAATTAGGACTTTTAAAGAGATACAGATACTGGAGGTCTTCTTGAATGCTCATCGTGTAGGGTGGGGGCGATGAATTTTAAATCAAATTTAACGTGATCGATGGTAACAGACAAGGAATTTTCTGGTTCTGATTTGGGCGTGGGGTTGGGGGTAGGTGGGCATAGTTGGTTGTCGAAGAAGATGGACTTGGGTGTGGGGAGTTGGTTGTTTTGGTCTTTTTAATTTTTCTGATTATTTATTTATTTATTATAATTGTAATGTATATGAAAATAAAAATTTAACCTTTTACCCTTTAAAAATTATTCAGAAGAGAGAAATAGTTTTTTTTGTTATTTTTAATATTTTCATAAATTTTGGACTCATTTACATTTTTTAAAAAGTTTAGGAATAAGATTGCAATTTATTCTTTATTTTTTATTTTTGTTTTATTTATATAGGAGGGTATATTGGTCATTTTGCGTTAAAAATAGGTGAAAATGACGTTTTCCGCAATGAAACGTTGAAATATGGGTGAAAATGTCAAAAATTGAAACGTATGTACGTTTTGCACACTACATGTCAAACGTATAGACGTTTTGTGCGGTTAAGCCATAAATATATTAAGCCAATGTTTGATATGGATTAAATCTAGAGTTTAATCTAAGTAAAAAGAAACAATTGATTTTAATTTTTTAATAACATATTTAATGGGATTCACAATTTTTTAACTATATATTTCATTAATTTTTATCAAAATATAATAAAATCATGTTTTTAATCCTCACCAAACAAGTGCTAATAATGTTGCTGTAAATCCGTCTACTATACTTGTAATCGAGCTAGGGTTGTATAAACTTTACTTGAATTCACTAAGTTAATATTGAACTGCCTTTGTCTTTCTTGAATATCAAACATTAATTTTGGTCCTTACCGAATTGCGATTAACTTATTATTGCCCGAGTATGAAGTTTCAATAAAATTTCGTTAAGAAATCGATACGGTAAATGAATGCAACAAGACTATAAGAAGAAAAGGAAATTTGTCCATACTTGGAAATAAAAAACTTATTACAACACGTCATTTCTCAATCTAGGAGAATCACTTGAGCTTATTACATTCAAATAATTGGATATATAGATAACTACTGAAGATTTTTTTGATAAGTTTGCTAAGGTAAATTGGACAATACTACATAATATTAAAAAGTTAAAATCTTGTCGATTATATATTTTATCATATAATATGCACTAAACATGTTCTATGTATTTGTATCAAATCCTAAAGAATGATACGTAGAATTGGATAAAGCAACATTGACCAACGGTTTTCTAATCATCAATGGCACTACATCTTCAAGAAGACCTTGTGGGCCCGGATGCCCAGGCCCATACTTCCCTAATACTGGGCCTGAATTGAAATTTTGGGTTTCTTGGTCTTCGTCCGAATGGGCTTGGGCTTGTAAAATGGGCCCTTTTTGTTTCTTTGTTGGTGGATCAATTTGGTCCGGTGGATTGAGCAACAAAAATGGGTAAACAAAGTGAAGGTGAAGCCCTTCATATGTGATGGTGAGGCTGTCCGGGTCATCGCTGGACCGCTCCACCTGCTTTTTTGCACTGCACCTTGGGTTCGTGCACCTATAATAGCTCCTACATTTCATGAAGAAAAAAAATATTATGCCCATGTTTGATAGGGATTAAAATCAGATTTTCAGTAGATTTTGATAAAAGTTGATGAAATGTATGGGCAAAATTAATCGCTGAATTTTGACTTCTACACAACATAGGCTAGATATGAACTTCATTTTGCATAATTCTACCTCAAGAATACAGATTCAACGTCGCCTCTAGATCCCGTCTTTGCATTATTTTATAATACTTGATCAAGTAAAGGATATACTAGCGTTTCAACTATCCAAAAATGCAAAAAGATAACAACATGACGAATAGATTAAAGAGCGTCTCTACTTATCGCATGGATAATATTTTCTTCATGATTCGATTTTCATGTATAAATTAAGTAATTTATAATTATGGGTTATTTTAAGTATAAATTTGTAATGATTTGATTAACCCACAAACCTAATTTTTACTTTAAAATTGTTACCTTGGATGTGGGCTACTCTTGATTGATTTCTGTCCATATTTCCTCCACTTATAGCCATCATCAGCCATTACATTGCCACAACACTTGATTCTCATAGTATACTTGCTCTCCTGTTCCTTATTCAGGCCTCTTTCCAGCATTAATGAAGTTCTACACATGAAGAAAATATCAAATTCATTAAAAATATATATATATGTCTACAAAGTGAAATGAACCAACAGAATCTACAAATAATTAACCTGTAGGCTTCTGGTACAGCTTCATAATTTGTGTATGATAAAACTCTTTCTATATCATCATCTTGTGTCGCATGACCCGAATGGAGGGCTGAGACGAGAAGTGGGTTAATGGTTGAATCAGATGGAGAAGAGGTAATGGAGTTTGTTTCCATTGATGTTTCTTGATAAGGCATAAACAATGGCGATTCGTCGTTGAGAAGTTCTTTTATAAGATCATCTTCAAACCCTTGCGATGAAGAAAAACTCTTTAGTTCCTCCATTGTTGTGTTTATTGATTGGTGTTAAGAATGAGCAAGAGAAGGGATTATGAAATGAGAAAAAAGGTAGTTCAAAGTGGAGCAGATGGAGTGTAAGGTTTGATGTTTGTGTCTTTTGCCTTCTTGAGTTTAAATTATAAAGCTTTAGTTGGTAGTTGCCAGTTAGTGAATAAATTTAGTTCAGTAAAAAATCAGATTTTTAGTAAATTTTCAAAAAGTTGATGAAATATGTGATTGAAAAGTTGATAAAAGTTGTGGACACCATAAATTATATGGTTAAAAATGAATTTATGAAAAAAATAAACTTTTAAAAAAGTGTAATGCTACTTTGCCCAAGTAGCCTTACAAAAGGGGGAGTTCCAATGGGGGAGTGCCACCTCACTTGGGCACTCCCCTTTTGTCATCCAACTTGAGCAATGTAGCATTGCTCTTTAAAAAATTGAGCAGATAGTGACTTAGCCCCCCGTTTGTCATCCATTTTCTCAGAACTCTTTTTTTTTTTTAAAAAAAAAACTTATTTTCAACCATATATTCACACAATAAAATATTTTGTACATAAATACAAAACTTTTTTCTATCTTTTAAAAAAATCATTATTCTAAAACTCATTTTCTCCAAAAAACTCTTTTTAATGTTGACCAACAGAGACTTAGATAGATCATGTGTGTTAATTTATCATGCACGATGTTGCTCATGTAGCATACATTGTTTGTTTACTAGGTTGACTTTTGAAAATTCCGATCTTATCAACCTTCCCGTGCAGGTGCAGCTTGGTAGCTCATTATTGTTGTTTTCACCGCATAAAAGCAACGTAAGGACTTGTTTGATGTAAATTTTTTTAAGAATAAATTTGGTAAAAAATGATTTTTTTTGGAATATATGTAATTAAAAGTATGGAAAGTTACGAGCCTACATGTAAAATGATTTATTGGAAGAATGTGTAATTGATAATTAGTTCGTGAAACATAAATTTTAAAGAATCTGAGCAAAACAGGGCCAAGTGATAATCAAACATCAAATTTATTGAGGAATGCTATACAATGTCAACATAATAGAATTAAATAATAAATCTAATAAAATGAGTTGCACATCCCTACATTTTAGTACACCTATTATTCATGGATTAATCTATTTGTAAATTTAAGTGTTCATCTTGGGTGACATAATGCACAAGTTGCATTCTGTAATTGGTTGAAGAAATTTATTTTTTCAACCAGTCAATTACAGAATGTCACTTGTGCATTATGTCATCGACGGTATACATCTGAGTACATTTTCCTCCGTCTTATTTTTAGCCACATATTTTTTAATAAAATAATATTACACATAAATTCAAAAAAAAATTTATTTATTAACCATACATTCTTCATAAAAATACTATTTTAAAATGCATTTTTGAGCAAAAACTAGGACCTAAACAAACTCTTAATCTTGTCTAAGCTATATATGTGAGAAAAGTGACAAAATGAACCCAACACACTAGATACAAACTTGAAGAAGAATGATAGTCATTTGATTGAATCATGAAAATGAGTTTGAAATGGTCAAATTTGTGGTTGCTTCTAGGGATGGCAAAAAATCTGATAATTCCAATACGTGCAGGCCCCGCCCCGATCACCTGTTTAATCGGGTATTCGGGTTCGAGGCGGGGAGGGGCGAGGCAGATACGGGTAGGGTACCCCGCCCATCCCGCCCCATTTATTTTATTTTTTAATTTAATACTTTAAATGAAAATTTTTACGGAATTTCATTAATTCTAATAGAAAATGACAACTTAAATTATCTAAAAAAATATGACCAATAATAAAAGCCTTAGTTTACCAACTATATTTGAATAATTTAACTCTTAAAAATATATGAAAAAAAAAATTATTATCTCACTTTAATAAATAGGAGTAATAAAATGAATTATCAAAAATTTAAAAATAAAATTAAACGAATAGTAAAAGGGCAATGGCCACGTCTCGTCCCGTCTTAAACGAGTAACAGACGGGTACGAGGCAGAAAATTACCTAACGAGGCGGGGGAGGTTGTCCCGATCCTGACTCATCTCGTTGTAACCCCTAATTGCTTCAAATAAAGGGAAGGTTTTATCTTGTATTTGTATGTATATGGGGTTGACTTTCGATGTATGTCCAACATAATTTAAGGCAATATGACCTATTAAGAAGGGACAAATGGGTTGACCTCGCAGAATGGGCTTAGGTTTAGCTGCATTTTGTGTCATCTAGTGACATGGGGGAGAGTGGTCAACTACCCTGCCACCAAATCTTTATGGACTTTTCCACAAAAGTCAACCAACTTTCAATGTCGTTCTCACTTGAGAAGCTGGCCCACACGTGTGAGGGCATGGAGACTCTCGACTCTCGAGCTGTCGCCGGATCTCTTAATTGGCTCCAGGTATTGATGGGATAACGAACCCAATTGGAGTGGGAAGAAATTTGGATGGGTACGGTGGGAGACCTGACACATCGGTTAGTGTTCGATTTTTTCATAATTTTTTTTTTACTTGTAATGAAGTGTAACTTTTATTTGATTTTTGCACAAAATTTAAAATATTTAGGCACTCTCGTCAAATTGAGTAATGTAATTCATCTCCAGTGGAGATGAAAATATAGTTTATGTGGCTTTAAATGATAGGTTAAATGAAGGTGAAATTAAATGACTTATTTAATTAAACCTATCATTTAATGTCACATTAACTCCACATAGTCTGCGTTTTCATCCTCAGTGGGGATGAATAACATTACTCCGTCAAATTAGATGAAGTGAGAGAATTTCTAAACTATTTAATACTCTATATTTTCGATGACTTTGACTAGATTGCTAGAGGACATTTTTATAAAAGAACTTTAAAATCATCTATTGGACCTAATTCATCTTCGTCAACTAAAACAGAAAGAAAGAAAATGTTTCGTTTGCTTTTTTTCCATATTTTTTTACAACAATTTAAATGTGACTTAATTCCGAAAGAAAATATGTTCGGCCTTATTTTTCTAAAATTTTTATTTTTTTTTTTAATTTTTTGTACAGATATGTTAATTTTAATAATTAAAATCAAAGCAATAAATCCAACTACAGCTGGATATGGCAATTTTCCCCACCCCGCGGGCAGGGACGGACGCAGACTTTTTATGTTGGGGCCTTGTGGGGGGGGGGGGGGGGGGGGGGGGG